TTTTAGGTCGGTATTCACTGTTTTTTTAGTAGTGTGTTTGCAATGGAAAAAGAGAAGACTTTGTATGTGAGAGCTGCTTATTATGTTTTGATATATGGAATTAACTTGAAAATTATGCTTATCTGAAAATATACGAGCAAAAGAAGATCCTACTTTTTGTGAATATTTAATGCGAATTGGAAATGGACAAGAAACAACTAATGAGAACAACAAAATTGAAATTCCACATAATTTTATCATTCCTTCTACAATTGAAATAGAATCCCTAAATCAATTATTTAGAGAAATTTATCCTGATATAAGGACATTCTATTTAGACCTATCTTCTATAGCTTCCGGAGTTATTTTAACTACAAAAATTGACGTTAACGAAATTAATGATCACTGCACAAACGATTCAATTAACTACATGTTCTTTACTAGAGAAGAGGAAAATATCATCCAAGATTAAATTTTACAGTAAAAACAAAATGCTAATGCTATACTACTTTTGCTATCATACTCACGAGATGACACAAAATTTGATGACGGTGTTTGGAGTCCTTGGAATACATCTAAGTCCTGGAGCTGAAGTACGAACACAACACCACAATACCAATAGCATTGAAAATTGTACTACACCATTGGGCCATATTCACTGGTCAATAAACATGTGTACTACACATGTCCTTCTACCTCCTCCATTTTCCAATCATTTTGCTTTGGCTCTTACGTCATTTTTTCATCTTTTCCATAATCTTCTACTTTTTATATTTTTCATTCTCCCATACTTACTGTTGGCGAAGAAGAGACTTTTAGAAATTGATGGAAAATTAGAGAAGATTAATTCGAGTCACGAGCTGGTGCCTCAATTTTGGTGATGAAATTTCACATTTGACTACCGAGATTGGAGGTAATTTTCATTCTAATTTAAATTTCTGCAGTGTTCCTTTCAGTTTTCGGAAATCCTGTGAACTTTTGGCGCTCTTCTTTTAATTTATTTTGTAGATACGTGTACTCGTTACTATTTTATCTCAATTTCTTAGGTGTAAGATTTTATCAAGAAGAATTGAATGGGAATACAAAAAGACTTTGTGAGAAAACTTCTCAAAGGTTCGTACTATATGGCAACTGATAGTCATTTTTGGGGATTTTCCTCCTTTTTTTTCTCCGTAATTTTGTCCCATTGTAGAACTCAACTTTTATACACTGATAATCTAAAAGATAACTATACGCTTTGGCTTCCTTGACGTTCCAAAATTCGTAAGTAAGCTAATATGTACTTTGAGTTAGTTTACCTAAATCAACTTTAGCATTAACCACACGATATAAGTTGATTATAATAGAAAGGCCTCTATGTAGTGTGGTTATGATTGGTGAAATTTGTCATCTAAATAAATGATTTTCTTTTTTCCAACCTATGTAAATCCCACTATCCATTTACAACACATGTTATTCTATGTTATAAGCTGCTACTACTACTACTACGTGGCTCTCTGGCTCACAATTCTGTCCTGCACGGAAGAAGAACATGTATGTCTACCAAGAACTAAGGAGAGGAACATTAAAAAGGCCAAATTGTTCGTCGCAAGTGAGGTGGAAAGGAAAAAAACATTTTTTGAATCTGAATCTTCAAGCAGCGGTATCTCAATTGAACCACCCACACCAATGAAGAAGCTGTGAAAGGTCATTCGACTAGCATGCAACTTTTCCAAGTTTTTGGGCCGCCTCAGTGATTCAAATTTTGCGTCAAGTGGATATACTGCACTCATTTAGGTATGTTGTAGTACACTTTCGTCTAAATAAATGTTCAATATTAAGATAACTTCACCATAAAACTATCACCTTTTGGCTGTAAAATTGTGGAATTAATGTAGTAAGTTCAGCTTCAGTTGTTTGTTGTAGTCATCCTGCAATGAGTTTATTATTTCCTATATAAGGCCATTTATGTTCCTGATTGGCAACAGTGATAGGTGAAATACCTTTTCTGTATATTTTTATTTGCCTTGCTAAATGAACACTTTTAAGCTTTTTTTTTCCTTTTAGAAGGAGAAATATGGGTCCTATTTTGTTTAGTTTATATTGAATCCTTACTTGTGATAACGCTCAACTACACCTTTTTATAATTCAAGGTGTAGGCGGTCGCTAACAAGTATAAACCCAACAATGAGTTGGGGTCGATCCCTCAAGGAGTGATATGGTAAAGAATTCAAGTACGAAGTATTCAAGTGTTCTAATTTCTTGTAGAACGGAAGTAAATAACACGTAACATAATATAAATCGATAGGCTTTAATTTTCAATATCAAGAGAGTTTGGTAACCAATTGTTAACAGAAACAAATAGTGCGGAATTTGAACAAGTATAAAGAGAGCCTTAGGAGGGTGTGAGTAATTGAACACTAATTTCGCTTAATGGGTAATTATCAATTTCTTTAAGTTGTTGAATCTCAATGGGTAGGATGAGTTTTGAATATAAAAACTATCTTTCAATCAGCTATCATGCTTCGAGTGACTTCTTTTGAACCTCAACAAGCTTTGCAACACAAAACAACCCAATTACTTAACTTAACCCACTTTATCAAGTAGGGCTGTAAAAACATAACCCAATACAATTATCAATCATTTATTCTACTCTATGCCACTTTTGCAAGCAATCATCGAGAGCTAAGACTAGAACTAAGCAACTTTAGTTCATAGATTAAAACATGAATAAATGATTGAACCCATTTCAAAACAACATTAAATGTAGTAATTAACAATACCCATAAACTAATTTATGTATTCAAGTACATAGTCACACCCCTAAGGAAATGGGGTTTAGCCTAACATAACAAAAAATAAGAAATCATTACCAAAATGATGTTCCATCGGATTGGCAAAATCTCCAAACTTAACGCCATAATTAAAACCTGAACCTTAAATCCTCAATAATCTAAGCTCAAAAACCTCTCCAAGGGTATTCAATAGTGTCAAAGTATGTAAAAATCCCTTAAAACTGTGTAAGATCTTTTTTTTTCTTTTCAAAAATCAATTTATATGTTTCCAAAAACTTCTAAAAGTTTCAGTACGTGGGCTCACTCGGCGAAGTTAGTGGGGATCGGCGATCCACCGACATGGACCTCTTTGTCACGACCCAAGGTAGCCCCTAGGCGTAACATGGCGTATAAGACCCCGAAAGGCCCCATACAAGCCGCTTAGCTTTTATATCATAAGAAATAAACAAAGAGATATAAAAGACAGATTCAACGTATAAGACTTTTATAGAGAAAAGAAAAAATCTGAACATCGTCTGAAAGCCATCTAGTACATAAGAATGAATCTGGGCGTAGCCCGTAGATCATGTTCCAAGATTGAATGTAAGGAAAGACTGAAAATAATAAATGTCCGGTCCTCGAAGCATGAGGACTCACCAAAGCTCGGAATCTCCACAAGAACTCTAGCCACAAAACTTGGAACCCTGACTGTCGGACCCTACATTTGGGAAAATGTAGGCAAGAGTATGCATTAGTACAAACATGTACCGAGTATGATAACCACGCATTAAAACATTTGAACCATGATAAAAAAAGAAACATTTTCCTAACATGAAATGACTAAGCTAAAACATAAATTTAGAAGTTAGGAAACATAGGTAATAAAACATGGTCAATGCAAGCTAACATCTTTAAAATGTTCATGAGATACTTAGTAACCTTAGTTCATTATTGAGGGAAAATTATCTTTTAACCGACATAGAGACCATGTGAGCTATAAACATGGAATCCGGTGTCTTTCACACCGAAAAGGGTTGTCCTACTTGCCAAGGTAAGGACCATGAACTTCTAGCTTAGGTGGATCCACTAGCTAATGTCTAGATATGGTGGCACAAAGTTAAGGGACAAAGAGGTTCCTTCTAGAAACCTGGCCTCTACTAACGGTAGAGCTTCCATCTCGATATCCACTCGGTGCTTAGAGTAATTCCCACGAAATAGTCAATTATGCATACTTGTCTTTATTATCCATGGAATGACACGTCATATTGCCAATCCAATCTAAGTAATGTGTTATCCATGGAAAGGTATCATTCAATAACCAATCCAAGCTAGGTATAATTAGAATAGCTCCTTAAATCTTTGATACATTTTGTAGTTGAGAAAACCTTTCAACCCTAAGAATCCTTTATGTGAGAATGTCCTTTCACAAATCATGCTTTCATGTGTATATGAGAAATCCTTTCACAACACACAAATGAAAACATTGATACTTCACTCTCAAAGTATCCTTTAAACATTTACATAGTTCTCTTGAGAACATGCTTGATTTCATAAAACTTTTCTTTCATAATCCAAAATCCACATTATATAATCATAACTTGGAAAAATGGGGTTTACATGGGTTCATGGGGGATCATCATAAAAACATGAGATTAACTCAATTCATGCATAGGAGATGATAAATCAATCAATCAAAATCAATAATCTAGGAACCCATGACATAGAAGAAAATCGTAACTCAATTGGAGAATTCTAACTTCGAAAATTGGAGAAGTTGGGAACTCCATGGATGAAAACTATCATACCTCAATGCCAAAAGCTTGACTTCAATGGGGGAATTGGAGACTTGGCTTGAAACCCTAGGTTGATCCTTTCTTCTTCAAGCTTTCTAGAGAGAGAAATATTTTGAGAAGGACTCTTGTTCTTCTTTTGTAAATTTGAGAGAATGATTTTAATTGGGGAAATTTGGGGGTTAAAACGCTTATATAGGGGTTTTGGTGAAGGATAAAACGACATATTATTAGGCTAGAATAATTAGGAAAAGTCCCAAAAGCCCCTGAAAATAATAATTGCCGATCCAGTCGACGGTGGGGACCTATAGTCCGTGGGTCCACCTACGGACTATCCTGTCCCTCCGTCGATTGGGTTCAGAGACTAAAGTTTTGGACCCCAAATGATGGGACCTACCCATGGGTCATGGTTCAAGAGATGGGTCGTGGAATGAATGACGGGCCGTCCTGGTGAACCGTCATCAAGGTACTGGAACTTGACATTTTTGGAAAATCTGACTGCCAACCACGAACCTGATCTACACGGTTCGTGCATCAACCGACAGATTGTCGGTAGCGTCCGTCGAACCTGGCACTAGGTTTCTTAAAAGCTGAAATTTTTACCTTTTCTTGAATTCGAGGTGTTACACTCTTCTCGCCTTTTGGCTTGACTTCTGCATCCAATTGTTCTCGAAGATTTGGCGAGCTGGGTCGTGATCGCCATTCCATTCGGCGCATCGCTAAAGTGTCTTTTCACTCATCGAGTTGTCTTAGTTCACAGGCTACTTCACTGGAAAGTTTGGCGAGCTAGAGGCTCACTCGGTGAGTTGCCGAGTGGCTTTTGCGAGCTCTAGCTTTTCTTTTCTTCAGCTTTTCCAACTTTTTCAGTTCTTTTCGCATCGTAATGTCCTTGCCTTGTTCTTAAGCCTTCATTGATGCACATAAACAAATTAACGTCAGTTATGCACACAAAATAGGCATTAAGGACACTATTTCATGCAATAAATAACTCTAAATGAGTCAAAATTCTTGACTCATCAATGTACTGCACATATAATTCAATGATACCTCTGGCGTTGTTATTGCTTCTGCAGGGCGTGCAACCGTTCAGTCAACAATATGTACCAGCAATATTTCCCTCCAAATTCTTTTTCAATCGGTTAAAATAGATGATAAATTTTTGTGTACAAACAGATCAATGTTGGGTGTATATATATATATATAGTAGATCCAGTTTAGTTGAATGTAGGTACTAATGAGATCATATGTAATTCAAAACAAGATTGGCCAACGAAAGTTAAATCTATATTGAAATATGGAGAAGGCCCAAATTCCTAATCTACAAATTAGAAGATTTCAAAATATGGATTTTAGGGCAACAAATCAATTCATCTAGTTGGTAATCAGAAGCTACACTCGAAGCTTATCTTTGTCTCAATACAAATTTCTTGTTAGTGATTGGCACCCCTTGATATCTTTTCCTACACAATGGTATTGACGAAACCTCAATCTATGAGGACGAAATGTTGACAATGATTTATTATTAATAGAAAAATCGACTCAAGGTTCAGTTTCTTTAATTTTGTTATTGGGGACACTAAAATCCTTTTTTAAAAACATAATTACCAAACACAAAGTTTGAGCTGAATTGTTTTCTATTGGAGTCAAAACTCATGGTATTTGTGAGAATTCGAAATGTCTAAGGTGAATTTTATCCAAGATCTTTCAGGTTCTTTGGTTGTTCTTGATTGGATTTTAATATCCCTATCCTTCTCCGAGATCGTTATAGCCAGCTTCTTTTGGTGAGTGAAGTACAAACAAAGATGAAGAGGCATTTTTCTCGGTGTTTGGTTAAGATTTTATCAAGCTTTTGTTTGGTTAGAGTTTTTTATTTTTTCGTTTTGGATCTGGTCTTTAGGTTGGACCCTATTAAGGATATTAACGATATTTTTCAGGTTATGAAAATGAGGATGAATAAAAAGTTTACTTATAGTTACTAATTTACCTATCATTAATGATTTTTGGTAAATTAGTAACTATAACTACACTTTTTATTGATCCGCATTTTCATAACATGAAAATATCGTTAATATCCTAAATCTAATCTAATCTAACGACCAGATCCAAAATTGAAAAAATAAAAAACTTGACTAAACAAAAGCTTGATAAAATCTTGACCAAGCACCGAGAAAAACACCTCTTCATCTTTGTTTGTACTTCACTCGCAAGAAGAATATAGCTATAGCGATCTCGTAGAAGGAAAGAGATTAAAATCCAACCAAGAACAACCAAAGAACCTAAAAGAGCTTGGATAAAATTTACCTTATACATTTCAAATTTTCACAAATGCCATGAATTCCGACTCCAATAGAAAACAATTTAGGTCAAACTTTGTGTTTGGTAATTTTTTTA